AAGAAGTTCCCTCATCATCTTCAGGGACTTTCCCTTCAGGTCCCTCACCTCTAGCTATTCTTCCTGAGACTCCTGGAAGTGTCTGCTCCGGTGTTTCTGCATTTTAAACTAGTGGGATTGCAACTCTCCTTCCCAGGCAGTGAAAAGCACAGTTCGGTGTGTTTCACGAGGAGGCAGAGCTCCGGTTTTGGCAGGGAACAGTACCATGACTCTGCCAACCTTGAACGGAAGTGGAACAGTCCCAGGCATTGCCTGCAGCTGCAGAAGATACGGGTAGCTAAGGCCAATGGTAAACAGTAGTCATGCACCTAGCAAGGTGGAGAGGAAAGAAAATGAGAACAGAGCCTAAGTCTGCCCCAAAAAGCCATACCTAGAAAGTTACGGGGGGGAAAAGCAAGCAGAATAGGAGGAACCAACAGCAGCTGCAAAAGCACCTATCTCAGCAGCATGCTGGAGAAGGTGCAGCACAGATGGGTCGTGCTGAAGCACCGAATCGCCTTCACCACCATACAGCTGAGGGGAGCAGAAATGGCTCCAAAACTACAGGATACAGCAACATGCCACAGACAATGCGCACCTAGACATGGTCTGATCAAGGGACTGGGGAAAAGCTGCTGGAGAATCACTGCAACACTCCGCTGCTGATTGCAGATGGCCTGGGGCAAAGCAGGAGGGCTGCAGGGGGTGCCTTAATCAGTGGCAAGACTCGGCTCAGGGGAACAATGTTGTTCACTTACTTCTCTGAAAATAACCGGTGAGGAAATTACACGTCAGGAGATGCTGAGCTGAATCCCGCATGCTGCAACATGGCACTGCAAAATGAGAGCTCAGGTCATAAACACAAATACATACCAATATGGAACCACAGAATGGTTTGCATTGGAAGGGACAAGTTCCAACAGCTCCATGTCCTTCTTGTGTTGAGGGCCCCAGAGCTGAATGCAGTACTGCAGGTGGGGTCTCACAAGAGCAGAGTAGAGGGGCAGAATCCCCTTGCTCAAACTGCTGGCCACACTTCTTTGGATGCAGCCCAGGATACGGTTGGCTTTCTGGGCTGCCAGCGCACATTGCTGGCTCATGTTGAGCTCTCATCCACCAGCACTCCCAAGTCCTTCTCTATATCTCTTTGTATACAGAGATACATACGCTCTGATACCTCTCATCATTAAGCAACACCATGTTTCAGCTGATGTGGTGTATGTACACAGCAACTTTATTCCTCCTGAAGCACAGGGCTGAAAAATCTAGCTTCAGCCTGTGCACAGATTACCTCCTGTGCCTCTTGCGCTATTAAAAATATTAGTTGCAATTCATAAATATGAGGGCGAAAGAAGGGAAAGGGGGGGGCCTCACAAAAATATTATGTGACTGCTGAATTTCTATAGATTTACATAATCACTCACAAAATGCAAGTGACTGCTCCATTAGTGATAACACTATTTTAATTACTATTTCTCTCTTCGCTGAGTTGTGAATGGGGTGATACTTTTTTTATGCCAGTGGAAACATATGCAACATCTTGCTGTTTACTTGTTTGCTCAGAGGAAATATCTTATTTAAAAAAAAAAATGAAAATAAAATGAGGCACGGTCAAAATAATCCATCCAGGGAAATGAAACCCAAAGGTAGTGGTTTTCAAGCATGTGAAAAGTAAATAGAAGTAAAAGCAATCTCTTTCATTCATGGGGAGATGGAAACAATTTTATTTGGGGGGAATGTTAAAACAACCATATACAACTCAAACAAATACAACATAACACAGTTTGTTCCCCAGGTTTTCTAATAACAGTATTTACAGGTTTAATAAGGCACTGGTTCTCAAAAAAGAACACAAATTAGTTTCTTAGTCTTTACATTGTCAACTTTTTCTTTAACAGAAATAACTTTGTGCTAGAGAAATGACAGCAGTTGCTAGATGGCATCTCTCTTGGGGTGTTTTTCCTTCATCTCCCCCTTACCTGTGCCATCTTATCTATGCCAATAACTCACTAAACTAAACTTCCTTCAGTGATTTACATTTGAAAACTGGATTTCCAGACCTGTGGGCACTGAAGCCACAATTACCTTCACCACCGACTTCCAAGCCCTTATTGATGTGCACTGTGAAACTACCAAAATCTGGAAGTGACATTAGAAGGCCACAGTTGGCAAAATAAATGTACTAACCTGCACTCACTGTACGTGCTGAGACCATAATAATTACACATTGAGTGTTGCAGAAAGTCAACGATGCAGGCGGTAACTCGAATGTCACAGGGCTAGAACAAACAACTTCCACGCCTGCCTTAGGCTGTCTTCTGGCTTTAGGAATATCCCTTTACAATAGCATCCATTACAGTGGGTAAGGAGATTTGAGGGCAAAATCTGGCCTTTCGAGTCTTAGGAGAAAATGGGCAGGCACTAAGTTATACAACCGCAGACCCTTTCCTTTCTCAGAGTATGCCTCCTCAGTTATATATATATATATTTTCCTATATGGCACCATTGCAGTGATTTGTCATTTATGCATTTTCATAAATAAATATTATGTTTTATTTAGTGCTTTATCATCTGGAATAGTATACTCTTAATCCACATTCTGGAGTTATTCCAGACTCCCAACAGAATATATATATATATATTTTTATATATATATATAAAAACACATAAACTTGAACATTTAACATACACACTTTACATAACCTATCAACCAGTATCTTAGATCCCTTTCTTTTGAACTGGAAAAAGTAAGACTTGCTGAAAAAAACAGTGTCTGGCCCTTTCTCTTGCAACACGTCGAAGGCAGGTGCCGGGGGCATCACACGCATTGCATACACCAGCCGGCAAAGCACCCTCCAAAACATTTCTGGGGAGAGCCATGATATTTTTTTTTTTTTAAAGTATCTATCTGAGGAAAGCAGATGTGAAACACA